ATAAAGCAAAGGCATTAAAAGCTAAAACACCTAGTGTCAAAACCAAGAAAGCAGCGGTCAATAAGAAACCGGTCACCAAGAAAGCGCCAACTAAAAAGTAAAACCTAGGTAAATATAAAAAAAAAAAATTATGTGGCGAATAAGAAATAAAATAAGCCCTTTTCAGGGCTACAAAAATTCTTAACATATCGATCAGAAATGGATTTTTATCAAAAACACACGGACATCATATAAATATTTAAACTACGTGTCACGTTTATATCTCATTTGTGTTAAAAGTAAAACAATTCATACATAAAAAAAAAAATATATATTTCTAAACATAATCATGCGTACAAAATTCAAAAAAAAATTATATATACATATGTTATATTAATAATTATAATTTTCAGTAAAATGCCTAATGAATTTTCCATTCATTATTTTTTCAATTGACAATCATTTTCAAAATTAAATCTCAAGTATTTGAAATTTCGCCTTTAATCGGAAAAAATCTTTTCATTATATTGAATAGTATTAAATACCACAGTAAAGCGTGGCCGGACCTACATGTATACTCATATTTCATATCTCTTTGTTGATTTATATCTTGTGGCCCTGAAAAGGGCCTTTTTGCTAGTCGTTATAAAAATCATTTGAACAAATTACTTGGAACTTGTGTATTTAGTGACAGCTTTGGTACCTTCGCTCACAGCATGTTTAGCTAATTCACCAGGCAAAAGTAAACGAACAGCAGTTTGGATTTCGCGACTAGTGATAGTTGAACGTTTGTTGTAGTGAGCTAAACGCGATGCTTCGGCAGCGATACGCTCAAAAATATCATTTACAAAACTGTTCATGATACTCATGGCTTTTGACGAAATACCCGTATCTGGATGTACTTGTTTCAACACTTTATAAATGTAAATAGCATAACTTTCCTTCCTCTTGCGCTTCTTCTTCTTGTCATTTTTAGTAATATTCTTTTGGGCTTTACCAGCCTTTTTCGCTGCTTTTCCACTAGTTTTAGGAGGCATGTTTTTTTTCACTTCACTTTTTCACTTAAACTTTTCGAAATAAGTTTCTCTACTCATCATATAGCATTTTTATTGACAAACTGTTCGAGTAATCGGACAAACCGACACGAAGTGTCACGAAGCCGAATGGATGTAGAAGTCAATGAAATGAAAAAGTATATAATCAGCAGTGTGTTAGTAGAATTTTAATAAAGTGAATTGTGCAGTGCAGTGTGCATAGTGAAGATTAATTTTTATTTTCTTTTG